GCAATGATGGTGCCAACTTGGGCCAGTGAAGCAACGTCCTCCACAACTAGACTGAAGAACAAAGCAACAGCAACTTGTCTGTTCCCCTTCTCCCGATACCCCAGCACTGTTCCCCTCCCCTAATTTCCCAATAAAATCTTTAAAAAAAAAAAAAAGAACTCTCTGGTTATATAGACTGTTAGGTGTACACGAGGAAACCCCTTCCTTAGGCTTCGGGCAAAATCACTCAGAGAACCTGGTGAAGCACGTGCTCTCTTCTTAAGTTAATGATTTTGAGATGAAAATAAAATTACGATTTGTATTAATGAAAAGGAATAGTAAATACAAAAATATAAGGAGAAAAAACAGAAAAATCTAGCTAGATCTCAGGAGGGTCCCTGAACGCCTTCGCAGCAGCGCCCGAAGGGAAACGTTTGGGTCCCAGTCAAGCAACGCTTCCCTCGGGCTCAGAACAAACAGAGTTCTCTGGTTCACGCATACACCTTGAAGCTTTTCTAAAAGTGAACTTACTTTACTGGTTTTAATCATGTTTTATGATAGTGTGATAGGTCCTACAATGGGGAGAAAAGCTGTTATTTTGAAGTAGTACCAAGGTTTCATCTTTGGAGGATGAAAAGCTTACCAGCAGGAAAAGATGACATGATCTTAACAGCTTAGTTCCTTTATAATTCCAAGTTGTGTCCTATTATTTTTATATATATCTTTGCTAAAATTATTTATCCACAGAATGAATTCAGTTATATATCGGATGAGACAGGCACAAGTGAGAATGTTAAATCAAGATGAAAAGAAGGGGGAATTATTCTCGGAATTATTACCTCCCCACCCTGGTGGAATGCGTCTGCCTTTTTTTAATCTAACAGCAGACACGGGGTGAATTTATCACACAGTCCATGTCATCATTACCTAGAGGATCTACCAGAAACACTGCTGCGTGACCCAAAACAGCATGACACGTTCACCCCCGGGGTCGTGATGGACGCTCTCTGAGGTCGAGCCCCACACACCTTCCCCATGAAACCGCTTTTCCGCCTGTGGACAGCGCCTGGCCTTCTCCTATCCGCAAACACCGCTACCTGAGGTTACAGGAGGGTCTCGGGCTAGTGCCACCCTGCGTGGCAGCCCCCACTGTCAGACCCCGCAGGGCAGGCGCGCCCGCGTAGGGATCCAGTTCTGGGGCTGAGCTGCCCACGGCCACGCGCGGCCTCGGGCCACGCGCTAGAGGAGGGGAGGCTGCCGTGGGTTCTGGCGGAGGGTCCGGGTCTGCGGGGCCAGGAGGGGAAGCCCACGCACCTCGCGGGGCATCGGGGCTGGGAGGAGGGTGAGACCCGGTCCCGGAGGCTGTCTGACGGGCCGTTTCATTGCAAACCTCCCGCTTCCTAACATTCTGAGTCATCAGGCGTCCAAGATCTCCAAACTCGCGTTTCCTCGGTCCCACCCAGGCAGTGACACACGCAGCGCGCTACTGCCGCGTGTCCTTACCTTCACGTCCTGGACGTTCATCCGCGTCCCCTCCTTCCCCACGAAGATGTCGTCGATGTCCACGAGGACGTGCCTGTCCAAGGACAAGG